CACAGGCCACTGCAACCCCCACAAATGACACATCTGGACCAAACTTGGCAGACAGACCCCCCATGACCCGCTTTGTGTCTGGCTGCAGTTACAGGGCAGATGGAGTACAGATAATGAGATTTGCAGTACCTTCACCTTATTTGCTCCCACAGGCCAATGAGACCCCAACGAATGATGGACCTAGACCTAACTTGACACACTGATCCCCGCCCCCCCCCATGGCCCACTTTATGTCATGGTGCAGTTTGGGGGAGGGTGGACCACAGATGATGGGATTTGAAGTACCTTCTCCTGATTTTGCTCCCACAGAGCACTGTGACCGCCACAAATGATGGATCTGGACCAAACTTGGCATGCATAACTCCCATGATTTACTTTATGACCTGGTGCAGCTAGGGGGAAGAATGGAACATGAATTATGGGATCTCCAGTATCTTCATCTACTTCCAGAGAACCCCACGAATGATGAACCTGGATCAAACTTAGCACACAGACTTCCCATGACCAAGAAAACATACAGGACATGTTTGAGGGCACTTGACCTTGAATTTGTGGGAGTTATAATTCACCTTCATTTTGTAATAAATAGCGTTGCATATTGCCAAACAGATATTACCAAACTTCACAAAACAAACAATGCCTTTCTTACTGATGGGTTCCCAAGCTTAAAGAATTTCTAATGGGATCATTCAGACAAAACAAAAGCAAAGACTGGTGTTTTTCTAATAAATAGTGTTTACAGATTACTTAAGTGATATTACCTAACATCCAAAACAAACAATGCCTTTTCCCAGTCAAATAGTATTCCATCATGTCCTTAGTTTATATTTTGGTAACTGATTGCACAGGAAGTTTTCAAATTGTGTCATATTTTAGTTTTCTTTGGCCTTTGGATTATGTGTACATTGGCTCCAATTATACACACACTTATCTCTAATTTACTGGATGGAATGTTGCCAATTCAATATTTTATTCCCCAGAAGGAAATGGAGGATGAGGGGAATCCAATCTATAGGATTATTTTGAGGCCTGTCAATTAACAAGATTGATAGAATTCGATTTTGATGGTTTAAGAAGATGGGCCAGAATTGAAAGGGGAAAAAAAAACAATAAATGGATGGGATAACTGCCTGTGCTTAAAAGGATGGATGGAAAATAAATCTCTATAACAGATTAAAGGGGCCCCAATAATCTCATCCATTGAGTGCTGAAAAAATGGCAAGTTAAATTTCCAATAAATAAAGTAGATATAGTCCCCATAATCTTTCTAGACAGTAAAAAGGAGCAGACATTTGGCAAAGTGACAACATACTTAAGACAAAAATGGCATGAAATTGCTCAGAGAATGAAATTTTTAAACCCAGATGGGACAATCAAGGATTGGGAGGCGATAAAGGACAATTGTGGTCAATGTAACTGGCTTCTATGGAACAGTTTGAAACAAAGGATTATGAACTGGAGAGGAAAGGAAGGTCCAGAAACAGATTTTGACCAAATATTAAAGTGGAAATTAGAAAAGGAGAAAGGCCTGATGGGTTTCAGATACAAGATATTAGTTGGAAAAGAATATAAATTGAAACAAACATTAGCCGAGATATGAAAAGGGGACCTGAATAGGAATGAGTCAGATACTGAACATGGGATCAATTCAATTTAAAAAATCAAGTACATAAGGACTAGAGAAACACAAAGGAAAATACTGACCAAATGGTATAGTACCCCAATTAAATTAGCTTACATAACTAAATCAATCACAAAATCGTGTTGGCACAGATGTGGAGAAATTGGCTCCTATATGCATATATGGTGGCAATGTGACAAAGAACAAACATTTTATGACAAGGTAAAGAAGGAAATGGAAGAACTAATAAGGCATAAACTGGTGTTGAATAAAAAAGAATTCTTCACTCAGAGGCTGTACAAGAACAAAAACATGAAGGATTGGGCAGAAATTATAAAATACATGACAGTCTTCGCCTAAGCAACTGTGGCCTTGGGCTTGAAAGACCATAGAAAGTGGGAAGTTAAAAAAATAGTTGTAATATCTAGCAGACTTCATGCTCCAAGATTACATTCTTGAAAGGTGTGGGAGATAAATATGGAATCGGCAATGTTATTAATATTAAGAGAACAACATTCTGCATGTTTTTGAAATGGTGACTGATTCTGATAATATTCTACCAATGTTTACAATAAAAACATTAATTTAAAAAGGAACCTTCTAACTTCTATCACCTTGCATCGAGAATGATTTGTTGCTGAGGACTGTGGGTATTTGGTTTGGCAACGTCAATCTGGATGGCCTGTTTGTTTATCTCAGTTTTGTTACTTTCTCTTTCTTGGATATATAGCAAAAGTAATAAAAAATAATCAGGTTTCATATTTGAGCTTATTATGCACCCTGATATAATACATTTTGAGTTTATCTTGAGTATTGGTATTTGCTAGTACTGCAGTATTGACTAAATATTTGTCAATACTGCAGGAAATCCCATGGTGTTTGGTTTATTATATGCCTAATATCCAGGTTCTATTAATATATTTTAGAATACAAGTTAATAGACAACCAGATAAAAATTGTTATGATTATGTGGTCCAGAGATTTAGGTAGAAATATTGATTTGGAAGCAGGCCTGTAGAGGGGGGTTCACCCCCCCCCCCCCCCGAAATGTTTCAGAATTTTTTAAAAAAACCTGGTTTACTCATGAATTTTAACTGGTTAACCCAATCCCCATGCTAAGTCTATGAGATGCAAAAAATCAAGAGTCCCTCCAGAACTGCAAGCACTATCTCAAGCAAATATTGACAATTTATTCACACTGTCATTACTTGCAGTAATAGCCGATGTAGTGAAGCAACCAAGTTGGGGGGGGGGGTGAATGATCACTTTCAAAGGGATGGTACTCACCTTTAAGGCCTTGCATGGTCTGGGGCTGATGTACCTGAGGGACCGCCTCACCCCCTACCAACCGCAGAGATCCTTCCGTTCTGAGGACCAAGATTTGTTGGAAATTCCCAGTGTCAAGACCTTGCGTCTAACAGCAACCAGACGCAGAGTCTTTACAGCAGTGGCACCATCACTCTGGAATACTCTGCCACCTGAAGTCCGTGCCTTGCAGGACTTATCAGCTTTCCGCAGCGCATGAAAGACATATCTGTTTCGACGGGCCTTTGATCTCTGATATTGCTGTTTTTAAATTGTTTTAAATTGTTTTTAAATTGTGTTAGATTTTAGCCTGTTCTTGTAAGCCGCTCCAAGCCCCAGGGGAGTGGCTGCATATAAGTGTGAATAATAAATAAATAAATAAATAAATAAAATAAGGAGGCCAGACTTGGTGGAGGTGGTTGACAGGGGTGGAGCTGCAGGCTATTGAAGGCTGCTCTGCCCCCTGCTGTGCTCTTTGCTTCAGTGTGAGTTAGGAGGCAGGTTTCAACTCCCCCCCGCGAAAATTTCAACCCGTCCCGAAATTTTTTTCTGGCTACGGCCCTGTTTGGAAGAATGGGAACATTTGTGGAAAAAGGGGTTTAAATTTTCAGTGGCCAGCTCAATTAGAGAAAATATGTTTAAAATGTTTTATAGAACTTACATAACTCCAGAATTATTGTTTAAATAGAGAAAAAAGGACAAAGGACTTGCTGGAGATGTAAGAAGGTGAAGGGATAATTTTTCCATGTATGGTGTCTTCATGTATGGTGTCTATTGTCTTCTCATTCAGTTCAGTAAGACATGGGTCCTATTGGTCTGAGATAGAGGGTATTTAGCAGACATATGGGAAAACAATACCTTCACTCACTTCCAGAGACCACTGTGACCCCCAAGAATGATGGACCAGAACCAAACTTGGCACACAGAACCTCCATAACTCACTTGTCCTGGTGTGGATAGGGGAAAGCTGGACCATGATTGATGGGATTTGCAGTACCTTCACTCGATTGGGCTCCTACAGGCCACTGCAACCCCCACGAATGACAGACCTCGACCAAACTTGGCACACTTTGTGTCTGGCTGCAGTTAGGAGGCAGATGGAGCTCAGATGATCAGGTTTGCAGTACATTCACCTGATTTGCTCCCACAGGCCACTGCCACCCCCATGAATGGTGGACCTAGGCCTAACTTGACACACAGACCCGCCCCCCATGGCCCATGTTATGTCGTAGTGGAGTTTGGTGGAGGATGGATCACGGGTAATGTGATTTGTAGTACCTTATTACTGAATAGCCAAAAACAAAGAATGCCTTTTTCAGATCACCTGGGCATTGCTAGGTCTCCAAGTTAGTATTACATAAAACAAGTACAATGGTTTTGAAAGATATCTCTCACCTTGCAAAAGATGGGCAGTTCTACTAGATTTGAAAATATTCTGTATTTAGACAAATTTCAGGAATATTTCTTTAAACGAAGTTTAGCTCACTACCTCTGAGGATGCTTGCCATAGATGCAGGTGAAACGTCAGGAGAGACTGCCTATAGAACATGGCCATATAGCCCAAAAAAACCTATAACAACCCAGTGATTCCGACCATGAAAGCCTTTGACAATACATTTAGCTTAAGATGTTACAACATTATGACTAGCAGAAGCTCCTTGGGGAAAACACATGGTTGGTGTTGTTTCCTTGAAATTATGTGCATAAAAGACATAGTTAATGCTTCCCAATGACTCCATTGTGCTATTTAGGTGATTTTTTTTCTCATGAACTTTTCCGCAATATGCATTTTACATGCAAGAGAAGTAGTCAAACAGTACTCCATCATGTCCTCAGTTTACTTTTTGGTAACTGATTGCACAGGAAGTTTCCAAATTGTGTCATATTTTAGTTTTCTTTGGCCTTTGGATTATGTGTGCATTGGCTCCAACTATACAGACACGTATCCTTAAATTACGTGAAGAAATGTTCATGTGACCTTTATCATATTATATATAATTTAGCAACATTGCTGTAGTCCTGGATTCTCAAGAGCAGAAGACCAGATCAACTCATTGGGGACTTTTGGGAGATAATGGAGAGAATTTGGATCATTCTGCTACTCTCCTCTATTTGGGCAGAGTCCTTTACCGGACTCTGCCTTAAACTGGTAAGAAGCCACTGGTCAACTTTATTGAACCTTTTCTAATGAGAGAGATTTCAAGCCAGGCACACATACAGTTCTTTCAAATGTTTTAAATATCCCCTGATTCCTTATAAGAAAAGGCTTGGAGAATCAAGTCTCTTTTTGTTTTATTATATGAACCATTCAGAATGTATTTCAATAATGTTTCAGTCACTTTATGCAAAGTACCTGTGGAGCCAGGATGAGTTGGGGAGTAACTTGATATAGCAGGGAGATTGGAACTTATTTCTTATCAAAATCGATTGGACCTATAAATATTTGTTGCCGTGGTCAAATAAATCCCTTGTTGAATTCATCCACTATTTAGGGTGGAGACACCTGGATCAGCAGAGAAAGACATTAATATGACAAGTGGCTTGGATGTAAGAACTGCTTAGATGTAAGACGCTCAGTTAACCAACACCATGGGGATTGGGAATGCCAGAAAAGGGGGTTTCTGGTTGCTTGTGTGTTTCTATTAGTAAGCCAAAGTAATACAATATAACAAACGATAGCATACAATGAACTGTGTATTGACTTGATATTAACATTGAACTAGAATAATAAAAAGCAAATGAAGACATTTTTTTTTCAAGTATTATTTCTTCATTTTCTGCAGTTGCTTGAGTACCGGTTAACTGAGAGTTTACTTGATATTGTGAATTCAGAAAATGGAAACTATGAAATATCCACTAGTGATATAATGATGTCCCTTGTTGCCCTAATATCTATAAGCATTGTTATGATGTTCTTGTTTATTTGTTCAGTTGCTTCCAACTCTTTGTGTCCTCATGGACCAGCCCATGCCAGAGCTCCCTGTTGGCCATCACCACCCCCAGCTTCTTCAGAGTCAAGCCAGTCACTTCATCCATCTTGCCCTTGGTAGCCTCTTTTTCTTTTTCCTTCCATTTCCCCCAGCATCATTGTCTCCTCTAAGCTTTCCTGTTGTCTCAGGAAATGTTATGATATGATTGTTATCATACACTCGTGGAAAATTTATAAACCTGACCATTTTATCCAAAAATTAAAAATTATTTGTGACATTGTATCATATAAAAAGATGAAAACATGCATTTTGCCTGAGAGAGAGAGAGAGGGGGGGGGGAGGAAAAAGGTCCATTCACATCTATCCAATTACTTGCATTTGATCTAATTTTATTTCAATTACAGGACAATGGAAACCTATGTCTGCAAAGCAACCAGTGTCAAAGCAGATGTTGTCTAAGAAGGACTGGGTCTAGTTTGGCACGTTGTGCCAACAAAGCAGCTGAGAATCAGGAATGTTTCCAGAAGGTACTTGCATTGCTTACAGTTTAGTTATTACGAATTGTATGATCCTTATGCTGAGGAAGAAAAAGCTGGTGGGCATCAATGGGATCCACAGAAGAGACATAACTCAAGATACTCAAGAGATGGTTGCTCATTGGTTGCAAGCCTGATGTGTTTTATCTTCATATTTAACTTTCCTTCTCCTCTCTTGAACTATTGTAAGGTTTTCATTAGTTCAGTAAATGACTTGAGAAGTTTCTAGGTCAGAATTTTCTGAAGTTTGGTTCCAAGTATGAAGGGTCTTAAAAGTATATGATGGAACACATTGGTTTTCTACAATAAACAACGATCTTTGGTAGATCTTTCATTGTGCTTGTGGAAAGATTGTGGGCTAACAGATTAGAGAGCTGGACTTAAATTAACACAACAAATTTCCACAGGGAAAAATGCATGGTTATACACTTTAGTAGAAAAAATTAAAAAATTGGTGAAGCCTCGTTTGAGAACAGTATATATGAAAGGGATCTAGGAATCTTAATAAACAAGGAACTGAACAAGAGTCAGTAGGCTGATGCAACAGATAAAAAAGGCTAATGCGAATCTAGGCTGCATCAATAGTATAGTGTATGGATCAAAGAAAAAAATAATAGTTCCATTCTATTCTGCTTTAGTCAGACCGCATCTGGAATACTGTATCCAGTTCTGGGCACCACAATTCAAGAAGTATATTGACAAGCTGGAATGTGTCCAGAGGATGGTGACCAAAATGATCAAAAGCTTGGAAACCAAATCCTGTGTCTAGGAAGAGGGGTACATTTAGCCTCAAAAAAGAAGGCTGAGAGGGGACTAGATAGTTGTGTTTAAATATTTGAAAGGATGTCGTCCTGGAGATGGAGAAATTTTTCTACTGCTTCAGAGACAATGACATTGGATAATTGATTCAAACAACAGAAAAAGAAATTCAACCTAAACATTAGGAAGAATTTGCAGAAAGCAAGAGCTACCTAACAGTGGTTTATACTGTCTTGGAGTGGGTGGAGTCCCCTTCTAGGGGGATTTTAACGCAGATGCTGGGTGACATCTATTGGGAGTGATTTGATTGTTTATCCTTGAACAACAGTGGGTTAGACTAGGTTCTTGGGTTCTTTTCCAGTACAAACAGTTGGAAAGGATTCTGGGAGTTGAAATCTCCCTACAAAGAAAGTTTTTCAAGTTTTGATCTTGTAAAGTTCTGTATTCTGATCTGGTTCTCCATATCTCTTGCAGCTTTTTTTTGGAACATACTACAGGTGTCCCTGTGAGATTGGCTTAATTTGTGATCCAGATTGGACAATTTTTGGGGGAATTCTTAACTCTGTCGTTGGCATCTGCAATGACCCAGCCAAAAGAAAGTGAAGACAAACATTAAAGATGTTTATGCTCAGCTCCTTCTGTCAGTTTTGTGGCTGTTATTGCTTCTGCTCCAAAAGGCTTTAATTGAGTCTGCTGGGAACCCTCACTTTCTACAGCATATACTATATTCATGCCATTTTCTCCCAATATTTTTATACATCCATTCAGTTTACATGCCTGTGCCTTCATTCACACTTTTGATGAAAAAACAAAACAGTAATGGATAAATGCCCTAGCATGTTTTATAATCTAGAAGAGCCATAACAAACCAGGTACCTTCCAGATGTATGGAACTACAACTTCTATCACCCGGCATCCAAATGATTTGTTGCTGAGGACTGTGGATATTGGAAGTCATTGGGTTTGGCAATGTTGATCTGGATGGCCTGATCAACATTTCAAATCTTCCTTATTCTTCCTTATTCTACCCTTATTCTACACTATTCTGGGTCCTACCATATAGTATAGTATCATAAAGTATCCCAACAAAACAATCAAGATACGGGATAACTCAATAAAAATGAGCGAAGGAACATAGACGCTTTTGAACTGTGGTGTTGGAGGAAAATTCTAAGAGTGCCTTGGACCGCAAGAAGATCCAACCAGTCCATACTTCAGGAAATAAAGCCTGACTCATTGGAGGGAAGGATATTAGAGGCAAAGATGAAATACTTTGGCCACATCATGAGAAGACAGGAAAGCTTAGAGAAAACAATGATGCTGGGGGGAAATGGAAGGAAAAAGAAAGAGGGACCGACCAAGGGCAAGATGGATGGATGGTATCCTTGAAGTGACCAGTTTCACTCTGAATGAGCTGGGGGTTGTGACGGCCGACAGGGAGATCTGGTATGGGCTGGTCCATGAGGTTATGGAAGAGTCGGAAGCGACTGAACAAATAAACAACAACAATAAAAACTTGGATAGCAAGATCAAATAGAAATAGAATTACCAATTCAATATTTTATTCCCCAGAAGGAAATGGAGGATGGGAGGAACCCAAGCTGCAGGATTATTTTGAGGCCTGTCAATTAACAAGATTGATCAAATTCGACTTTGATGATTTAAGAAATGAAAAAATAATAAATGGATGGAATAACTGCCTGTGCTTAAAAGAATGGATGGAAAATAAAACTCTAAAAGAGATTAAAGGGACCCCAATAATCTCATCCATGGAATACTGAATAAAATGGCAAATTGGTAAAATTCCAATAAATAAAGTAGATATACAACCAGTAGTCTTTCTAGACAGTAAAAAGAAACAGACATTTGGCAAAGTGACAACAATTTATTTAAAAAACGGAATGAAATTGCTAAGAGACCTCCTAAACCTACATGGGACAATCAAGAATTGGGAGACGATAAAGGATAATTGTGGTCAATGTAACTGGCTCCTATGGAACGGTTTGAAACAAAGGATTATAAACTGGAGAGAAAAGGAAGGTCCAGAAACATATTTTGGCCAAATTTTAAAGTGGAAATTAGAAAAGGAGAAAGGCCTGATGGGTTTCATATACAAGATATTAGTTGGAAAGCAATATAAATTGAAACAAACATTAGCTGAGATATGGAAAGAGGACATGAATAGCAATGAGTCAGACACTGAACATGGGATCAATTCAATTTAAAAAATCAAGTACATAAGAACTAGAGAAACACAAAGGAAAATACTGACCAAATGGTATAGTACTCCAATTAAATTAGGTTGCATAACTAGATCAGTCACAAAATTGTGTTAGCACAGATGTGGAGACATTGGCTCCTATATCATATGTGGTGGGAATGTAACAAAGAACAAACGTTTTAGAACAAGGCAAAGAAGAAAATGGAAGAATTAATAAAGCATAAACTGGTGCTGGATAAAAAAGAATTCTTTTTGACTGTGAGAGCTGACTGTGAGAGCTGTTCAGCAGTGGAACTCTCTGCCCCGGAGTGTGATGGAGGCTCCTTCTTTGGAAGCTTTTAAACAGAGGCTGGATGGCCATCTGTCAGGGGTGATTTGAATGCAATATTCCTTCTTCTTGGCAGGGGGTTGGACTGGATGGCCCATGAGGTCTCTTCCAACTCTTTGATTCTATGATTCTATGATTCTTCACCCAGAGGCTGTACAAGAACAAAAACATTAAAGTTTGGGTGGAAATTATAAAATACATGACAGTCGCCACCTAAGCAACTGTGGCATTTGGCTTGAAAGACCATAGAAAGTGGGAAAATAAAATAGTTTGAATATCTAGCTGACTTCATGCTCCAGGATCAAAGGAGAATCAAATACACCTCAGCCTGAATCAAGAAGAACTGGGATCTGTAATGGGGAATATTGATAGATAAAGTCAAAGGACAAGGAAAATATAAAGAATGGAACTATTCTCTCTTCATGATTGATCAATTAAAAGGATATCTGAATGAAGGAAAGTAGTGTTCCCAGGGGGCATGGGGAGAGAGTGGAGTAATATCGATAGACAGATGTGGGAGATAAATATGGAATCATCAATGTTAAGACTATTTGGAGAACAACATTTTGCATGTGTTTTGAAATGGTGACTGATTTTGATATTCTTCTACCTGTGTTTACAATAAAAACATTAATTAAAAAAGGAACCTTCCAAGTGTATGGAAATACAACTTCTATCACTGTGCATCGAGAATGATTTGTTGCTGAGGACTGTGGGTATTGGAAGTCATAGGGTTTGGCAATGTCAATCTGGATGGCCTGTTTGTTTATCTCTGTTTTGTTAGAAAGAGAATCCACAGATAAAAGAAATAGAACTTAATAACTTCCCATTTCAAATCTTCCTTATTCTACCCTGTCAGAGATATAGCAAAAGTAATAGAAATAATCAGGTTCCATATCTGAGCATATTATGCACCCTGATATAAGACATTTTGAGTTTATCTTGAGTGTGGGTACAAAAGGGGATGCCTAGTATTTGCTAGTACTCTGACTAGATATTTGTTAATGCTGCAGGAAATCTTGTGATGTTTGGTTTATTATATTGTGTGTTCAGCATCTAATTGTTGCCAGTCGGTACACCGCCCTGAGTAGCCTTTGGGCTGAAAAGGGCAGGATAAAAGTGTGGTAAATAAATAAATATATGCAATTATATCCAATTATACAGAGACGCATACCTAATTTACTGGAAGGAATGTTAATGTGATCTTTATCATATTATATATAATTTAGCAACATAGTAATAGTCCTGGATTCTCAAGAGCAGAAGACCAGATCAATTCACTGGTGATTCTCAAGAGCAGAAGACCAGATCAATTCACTGGGAGATAATGGAGAGACCTTGGATCATTCTGCTACTCATCTGTATTTGGGCAGAATCCTTTGCCAGACTTGACTTTAATCTGGTAAGAAACCACTGGTCATGTTTTAAATATTCCCTGATTCCCTTATAAGAAAAGGCTTGGAGAATCAAATCTCTTTTTCTTTTAGTATATGATTCAATTCAGAATTTATTTCAATAATGCTTCAGTCACTTTATGCAAAGTACCTGTGGAGCCAGGATGAGTTGGGTAGGAACTTGGTATAGTAGGGAGACTGGATCTTATTTCTTATCAAAATCGATTGGACCTATAAATGTTTGTTGCCATGGTCAAATAAATCCCTTGTTGAATTCATCCATGAATTTGTGTGGAGACACGTAAATCATCAGAGAAAGACATCAATATAAAAGTGGCTTGGATGTAAAAACTGCTGAATTAACTATGTCCATCACATGTAAGACTCAGGACAGTAGATTCTCAGTTAATTCAGAATTTATTTCAATAATGCTTCAGTCACTTTATGCAAAGTACCTGTGGAGCCAGGATGAGTTGGGGAGTAACTTGATATAGCAGGGAGATTGGAACTTATTTTTTATCAAAACCAATTGGACCTATAAATGTTTGTTGCCATGGTCAAATAAATCCCTTGTTGAATTCATCCATGAATTAGTGTGGAGACATTTGGATGATCAGAGAAAGACATGAATATGAAAAGTGACTTGGATGTAAGAACTGCTGAATTTACTATGTCAGTCACATTTAAGATGCAGCACAGTAGACTCTCAGTTAACCAGCACCATGGGGATTGGGAGATGCCAGAAAAGGGAGTTTCTGGTTGCTTGTGTGTTTCTATTAGTAAGCCAAAGTAATACAATATAACAAACTATAGCATACAATGAACTCTGTATTGACTTGATATTAACACTGAAATACAATAATAAAAATCAAATGAAGACATATTTTTTATTTAAAGCCTTTTTCCTTCATTTTCTGCAGTTGCTTGTGAGTTCTGGTTCTTTAAGTATCGGTTAAATGAGAGTTTATATTGTCAATTCAGAAAACGGAAACTGTGAGATATCAACTAGTGATAATTATGATGCCCCTTGTTGCTCTAATATATATAAGCATTGTTATGATGTTCTTGTTTGTTTGTTCAGTCACTTCCAAATCTTCGTGACCTCATGGACCAGCCCACGCCAGAGCTCCCTGTCAGCCGTCTCCAACCCCAGCTCTTTCAGAGTCAAGCCAGTCACTCCATCCACCTTGCCCTTGGTCGGCCCCTCTTTCTTTTTCCTTCCATTTTGCCCATCATCATTGTCTTCTCTAAGCTTTCCTGTTGTCTCAGGAAATGTTATGATATGATTGTTATGATACACTTGTGGAATGTTTATAAACCTGACCATTTTATCCAAAAATTAAAAATTATTTGTGACATTGTATCATATAAAAAAATGAAAACATGCATCTTGCCTGAGAGAGAGAGGAGGAAAAAGGTCCATTCACATCTATCCAATTGCTTGCATTTGATCTAATTTTATTTCAATTACAGAACAATGGAAACCTATGTCAAAGCAGATGTCAAAGCAGATGTTGTCTAAGGAGGACTGGGTCTAGTTTGGCACGTTGTGCCAACAAAGCAGCTGAGAATCAGGAAGGTTCCCAGAAGGTACCTGCATTGCTTACAGTTTAGTTAAATACTAATTGTCTGATCCTTTTGCTGAGGAAAGAAAAGCTGGTAGGCATCAATGGGATCCACAAAAGAGACATATCTCAAGATACTCAAGAGATGGTTGCTCATTGGTTGAAAGCCTGATGTGTTTTATCCTCATATTTAACCTTTCTTCTCCCTTTCTTTTGTAAGGCTTTCATCAGTTCAGCAAATGACTTAAGGACTTTCTGGATCAGAATTTTCTGAAGTTTGGTTCCAAGTAGAGAGGGCTTTAAAAGTATACAATGGAACACATTGGCTTTCTGCAATAAACAGCCATATTTGGCAGAATTTGAAATGTGCTTTTGGAAAGATTATGGGCTAACAGATTGGACAGATGGAAAAATGCATGGTTATACACTTTGGTAGAAAAAAAATGAAAAAATGGATGACACCTGGTTTGAGAACAGTACATGTGAAAGGGATCTAGGAATCTTAATAAATGAGGAACTGAACAAGAGTCAGTAGCGTGATGCAACAGATAAAAAAGGTAATGCGAATCTAGACTGCATCAATTGTATAGTGTATGGATCAAGGAAAAATAATAGTCCCATTCTATTCTGCTTTTGTCAGACCTCATCTGGAAAACTGTGTCCAGTTCTGGGCACCACCATTCAAAAAGGGTATTGACAAGCTGGAATGTTTCCAGAGGATGGTTGTTCAAGAAAACACAATCGAATCACTCCCAATAGATGATCAAAATAATCAAAAGTTTGAAAACTAAAGCCTTTGTGTAGGGAGCAGGGTACATATAGCCTCAAAAAAAAAAGAAGGCTGAGAGGAGACTAGATAGTTGTGTTTAAATATTTGAAATGATGTTATCCTGGAGATGGAGAAAAATTTCTCCTGCTTCAGAGACAATGACATTGATCAATGGATTGATCAATGGATTCAAACAACAGAAAAACCTAAACATTAGGAAGAATTTGCCGAAAGCAAGAGCTACCCAACAATGGATTATACTGTTTCGGAGTGAGTGAAGTCCCCTTCTAGGGAGATTTTAAAGAAGATGCTGGGGGACATCTATTGGGAGTGATTTGATTGTTTATCCTTGAACAACATTGGGTTAGACTAGGTTCTTGGGATCTCTTTCAATCCAAACAGTTGGAAAGGATTCTGTAAATTGAAATCTCCCTACAAAGAAAGTTTTGATCTTGTAAAGTTCTGTATTCTGATCTGGTTTTCCATATCTCTTGCAGCGGTTTTTTGGAACATACTACAGGTGTCCCTGTGAGATTGGCTTAAATTGTGATGCAGACCGGACAATTGTGGGGGGTATCATCAATTCTGTCTTAGGCATCTGCAAGGACCTAGCAAAAGGAAAGTGAAGACAAACATTAAAGATGTTTATGCTCAGCTGCTTCTGTCAGTTTTGTGGTTGTTATTGTTTGTGCTCCAAAAGGCTTTAATTCAGTCTGCTGGGTACACTCACTTTTTATAGCATGTACTATATTCATGCCATATGGAACTGCAACTTCTATCACCCTGCATACAGAATGATTTGTTGCTGAGGTCTGTGAGTATTTGAAATCATTGAGGTTGGCAATGTTGGTCTGGATGGCCTGGTTTTTTTTTAAATCTCTATTTTGTTAGAAAGAGCATCCACAGATAAAAGAAAGAGAAATTAATGCCTTCCTGTGTCCAATCTTCCATATTCTTCCCTGTCAGAAATATAGCAAAAGTAATGGAAATAATCGTGAGCCCCTGGCGGCGCAGTGGGTTAAAGTGTTGAGTTGCTGCAGGTGTCTACGGACAACGGCAGCTCTTCGGTTTAGAAATGGAGATGAGCACCATACCCCACAGTCGGACATGAGTGGATTTAATGTCAGGGAAAAACCTTTACCTTTACTAATGGAAATAATCTGGTTTCATATTTGAGCCTATTATGCACCCTGATATAAGACATTTTGAGTTTATAGTGAGTGTGGCTATAAAAGGAGATGCCTTGTATTTGCTCGTACTGTCAATGCTGCAGGAAATCCCATGGTGTTTGGTTTATTATATTCTGTTGTCTTCTCATTCAGTTCAGTAAGACACGGGTCCTGCCAGACCTCAGATACAACTACAAAGCAGCTAACTTTCGTTGGTTAAAGGACTGGATCAAACTGGAAAATAAGGAGTTGCTTAAGTTAGAAGGACATAATTTAAGATACGGGTGGTCAGTACGGGAAACTTTAATCCAAGATGAATTATACTCATCAAAAAGGTTGCAATGAATGGACAAGAAACATTGGGAGAACAATCTTGCTAGAAAAATGGGAATTAATTTGGAAAAGAAAAATCAATAACACTTACTCATACAACCTTAAGGAAAATGAAGATGATGTACCAATGGTATCTAACCCCACAAAAATTGGCTAAATTAAAAAAAAAACTACAAAAAACAAATGCTGGAAATGTGAATGAGATTACTTTTTAGTATTGAGTTTTTACCTGTAGCAGTCAAACCAAGGAAATTCAGGACATATTGCAGAGGAATATGGTCAGTATTCGGACTAGTTGGAACATGCTTAACAACTTGGAAAATGCACACTCCCCAGATAACGCCAAAGTATCAAATCTTTTAAGATAAAAGTGTTGTATTTTTTATGAAACCATCCTCAGATATGGCTATAATTCTTATCTTGTCTTATGCCTCCTGAATTAGTGAATGTCATGTCCCTTCTCAGTTAATTAAAAAACATGACTATATAGCCCACCAGTAGGAGTGAAAGTTGGCCTTCAACACTGGAAGTGTTGCCTCTCTATGCGGTAACTTATGCCCAGCTTAAGGAGCCCCACAGTACTACACAAAAATATTATCCTTCCAACATATAATACTGAGGGGAAGTCTTTGTCATTTCGTTTTTTAAAAAATTAAGAGCCCTAACATAATTTGTAGTTCACTTAGCTTGTGAATATATTTGGCACTCGTAAGTATGTATCACATCAGTGAGCAATAAGGTAGAGGAAGAAACAGCACTCTAAAATCCTTGGTTCTTTAATCTCCAATTTCTTTATTAGTTTCTTCCCATCCTCTATAAATTGAGTCCTTAAAGGCTGCCGCTGTCACTGTTGTCCAAACAATCAACTGGGTGAAAGCTGCTCCTGGAGTTGTCCTCAACCACTCGTCCGCTGCTGTGGAGACTGGGGTGGAAGCTGTGGTCAGCTCTCTCAAGGGGATAGAAGCTCTCGTCAGTCTCATCCATGGTTTGAAGGGGATAAAAGTTGCGGCCACTCTCATCATGGGTGCCATCATTCCCCGTGGCATTAGAGGGGTTGGTGCTGGGGTTAAGGGGATGGTTGCTGAGGCTGGAGTTGTCAGCCTGGCTAATTCTTGTTGATTCCAAGGGGCCGATACTGATGTTGGCCCCAAAAGGGGGTCCACTGAGAACCCGGCTCTCTTCCTTGTTGAGTCGGAGGCTGAGGATTACTTTGCAGGCTTCAGTCTGCACCTCTTCCTCTGGATGAATTATGAGAGCCAGCAACCGGTCAGAGAGGCGAGAGTTGTCCCCAAAGATGACTTCATGGAGAGAGTTGTCATTGTAGTGCCACTGCACTGACTGGTACTGGGGGGACAAGCGCCCTGCACTAAGCCGCTCCACAAAGATTAACAACTCGCAAAGTAGGTTCCCAGGTAAAGAAGGCTGGAAAAGGCTCAGGAATTCAGGGGGTGCCTTGGAAAGAGAGGCCACAACTGGGGTTAGTAAAAGTTTATCCTCTTCACCCACATGTGGATGATACTAAGAGTGCGTTGCATGGCATACTAATTCTTTGTGTATTCATTTGTTACACTTACATTTCCCCAAGGAATTCAAGGAGACATGTAGGACTCCCATACAACACCCATGTGAGGAAATTCAAATATATAAAATAGTGAATTTGGTGGTCAAGTGAGAATCTGAACTAAGATCCTCCCCACAAGCAGCACTCTAGTTATTAGACCGCACTGACTTTACTAGCTTGTTGTCTCTGGGTGCAGCTACTACACTGCAGAATTAATGCAGTCTGACACCATTTTAACTGCCTTGTCATTTGTAGTATTAGAAGGTCTTCAGCCAAAGAGTATGGGTGCCTCACCAAACTACAAATCCTCACTCAGCCATGGAAATTTGCTGGAAATCCACTGGATTATCTTGGGCAAGTCACACTTTCACAAATTCAGAGGCAGAGGTAATTTTCAACGGTAAGCAAACAGTATTTTGGCGCCCCCCCTCCCCCAACCAATCACTGATATATATTTTCTCTTTGCTGTGGGAGTTCTGTGTACCATATTTGGTTTAATCACATCATTGGTGGAGTTCAGAATGCTCTTTGATTGTAGGTGAACTATACATCCCAGTAACTACAACTCGCATATGTCAAGGTCTATTTTTCCCCAAGAGCGCCTCAAGAGCGCCCCTGGGCAAAACCAACTATACTGCAAATGCTTACTTTGCGTAATGGGTTGAGCCGCCCCTGTTCAGAGGAAAGCAAAGTCAAACTTACCTGACTATTCATGATGTCATACAGAAGGTCTTCTTCCTGGGCTAATGTGCTAAGAAACTTGAGAACTTGCACCTGAGAAAACAAAGAATATCACTCCTAGGGTTCCTTCAGATGAATGTTTCAAAAGATTGTGATATTTGGTCCTGTACTTTCTCAAGACATTTTAAATATCCATGCAATTTTAAATATCTGGGAAAACATTCTGGGACAACAGAAATGTTTCTGTTGTCCCAGATCATTTTCTGGAAGTTCCAGGTACCAACAGGAATATGTTAATGCTTTAATTGTTTCTATAATTTGTTTTAACTTGCATTTTATAGTTGTGGAGGCATCAAATTGTTGCCAGTTGTGAACCTCCCTGAGTCACCTCCTGGCTGAGAGGGGCCACATATAAGTGTAGTAAATAAATAAAGGAACAATACATTTTCTTTTCTCCTTTTCTTTCTTTTCAAAAAAACCTTTTAGAGTTATTGTGCTATAATGCATCGGTAGAACAGCACTTTTGCACTACAACTCTGTAATTTTTTTAAACCAAAGAGAATATTTGCCCTTCACACCATACATCCCAGTTTAAGAAAACTGTGAAGAAACTTGGTGCAGATCCAAGAAATTGCTATGAATTTCTCCAAAGGAATCGAATACAGGGATACGGAGAGGAAAAGAACAGGTAAAATCCAGCGTAACTCAAGGAATTATTTTTGGAACTCACACTTTAGGCCGATCTGGAAGAACCTTTTGAAACTGTCAAAATGGGAAAATCCTATAGCTCTTCATGTGACTCAGTTTTGGTAGCCAACATGGCACTACTCACATAGGATTAAGTATTAGCTTAAGGCAGGAGTCCCCAAACTGAGGTCTATGGGCTGGATGCAGCCCTCCAAGGTCATTTACCCAGCCTCCACCCTAAACTTTAGACTTAGGGTTGTCCTAAGTCTAAAACAACTTGAAGACACAAAACAATAAGAATCTTAATTAATTTGACAACCTTATCAATCAAAAGCAGGCCCACACTTCCCATTGATATATTGGAAAGTTTATGCTGGTTAAAATTGTTCTTCATTGTAAATATTGTATTGTTCTTTCATATTTTTTTTTGCATTACAAATAAGATATGTGCAGTGCGCATAGAAATTTGAACACGGAGGAAGAATAAGTGAAAGATTGTATGGTGAAGTGGGCTAAAAACATAGGTAGAACAATAAGGCTGGATGATTGGAAGAAGGTGTGGAGGAAAAAAAAAAATACTTAAAAGCCTATGATATGCAAGAAAATTGGATAAAACTATTCTATAGATGGTACATGACACCATACACATTGAATAAATATTACAAAAATGTTAGCCCAAAATGTTGGAAATGTGGCATAGAAGAAGGTACTTTTTTCCACACATGGTGGAAATGCAAAAAGGCAAAAAATTACTGGAGGGAGATACATGCCATATTACAAAAAATATTAAAAATTCAAATTCCCTTAAAACCGGAAATCTTCTTGCTGGGAATTACAAATGATAAGATTGAAAAAAACACCGAAAAATTGATATTCTTATCATCAACCGCTGCACGAATATGCTATGCAAAGTTATGGAGAAAAAACGAAGTACCCAAAATTGAGGAATGGAAGAAGAAACTGATGGATGTGAAGAATATGGACAGACTGAGCTACCTCCTTCAAAGGAGCAAAGGAATAGAAGAGACGGAGACAGAATGGACAAAATTTGAGGAATATCTAAAATAAATACAAAGAAGGAATAAAACCTAACAAACTGTAAATAGATGATTAGTAGAATGCAGTACAAAAAGATGGAAAATGAAGAAAGGAAAAACGAAAAGGAAGAGACCAACCTCGACGAATCCTGGAAGTCAACCTAGAAGAACAAAAATTTCTATATCTTCTTCTCTTGTCTTCTCTCATTTTAAACTATCCCCCACTTTTTTCTGTAGACACTAACCTTTACTTCTGTAGATACTTACCTTTACTATACCTCTAAGACCTTCCTCTATCCCTAATTCCCCTGCACTGCTACTACTTTCTTTTCCTTAACCCCCCACCAAAGCTTTTTTTTAACAATTGTATAATAAGAAAACTAATAAAGATTATATTTTTTTAAAAAAAGAAATTTGTTCATTTTGGGGTTGTTGTAGGTTTTTCGGGCTATATGGCCATGTTCTAGAAGCATTGTGAACTGACATTTTGCCTGCATCTACGGCTGGCATCCTCAGAAGTTGTAAGGTTGTGAGGTTGTGTGGATACCAGATATCAGGGCCAGCTAACACCTCACAACAAAAGATTCCTCCAGGCAGTAAGCAGCCAGATAAAGGTGAAACATCAGGCAAGAATGCTTCTAGAACATGGCCATATAGCCCGAAAACCTACAACAACCCAGTGATTCTGGCCATGAAAGCCTTTGACAATACAATTTTTTTCCAAACTACAGTCCAGCCCCATGACAGTTTGTGGGACCATGAACCAGCCTGTTTCAAAAGTTTGAGGACCTCTAGACTAAGGAAACTAAAAGATTTCTAAAAGTACCAAAATCATCTTTATAGGAGGAGAAACACTATCCAATAAGGACCGCACAAACTCAGGAACCAAAGAGAAAGTTGCTTGAGTTGAAATTTGAAAAACCACGTTGAGGTAGGATGGACAGTAGTGGGAAACCTGTGGTGTTCATGAGGTCTTCACTAATGTTCATGACCCAAATAGTTCTGAGAACTTTACCAACACAAATTGTGTAGATGTGGTTACTTGTGTGATTTTTTTTTTTAAAAAAATTCTTGTACCAGACAATGTTGAAGAAGAAATGGAGCTATGATTTTGTACCTTGGCCAAAGTGTTTGCCATAAGCAGAATATCCATGAAATTTGATAGCAGTCTTCTCATCAATGGGTGAGTGCTGTCTGGTATATGCAGTCCATTCAGTAGCCTCAACCCTGCTACCTGCAGATTGGTGTCCCAAGTATTTGTTACCAACTCAGCAATTTTGGGGACATATTCCTGAAAGGCAAACCAAAAACACCAGCATCATCGGTGGTCCATTTAGAAATTGTACATGCTGTCCTTCAGGAGAATATTATCTAGATGGGAAGCAGTTATTGCAACTTGCCCAACTGTAGTAGTTTCCGCACTTGATGGGCAGAAATGGCAAAATGGGTTGTTGTAGATTTTTTGGGCTGGATGGCCATGTTCTAGAAGCATTCTCTCATGACGTTTTGCCTGCATCTATGGCAGACATCCTCAGAGGTTGTGAGTTCCCTCAGAGGTTGTGACCTCACAACCTCTGAGGATGCCTGACATAGATGCAGGCAAAACGTCAGAATAGAATGCTTCTAGAACATGGCCATAGAACATAAAAAACCTACAACAACCCAGTGATTCTGGCCATGAAAGCCTTTGACAATACAGATGGCAAAATGTCAAGAAATCCCACTGGAAATAATAATAGAGCAGTGAGACTTTCACACAGTTTGTTTTCACTATATTAATGCCCCAAAGTCCTAATGATTTTTCTATGCATGGATCGATAAATCCATTTCTACATATAATTTTTCTTGTTTAAATTATCCCAAGGTACCATTCAGAGATATGGCTTTATCCTTCCAGTACTTATTTCTTCCATTTCTTATAAGATTGTTGTTTCCGCCCCATGGACATCTTACAAAAGCAAAATTCCAAAGAAAAAACAATGAATGAAACATTCTATTAGCAAATATGTAAATGCTTACAAATTACACCCACAATGCAAAGCCATCAACAGTTAAAATCATCAGCTGTGATAAAGAGATAAAATTAAAAATATTTCAGCAGAGAATTAGAATTAAAATTGTGCAGTGGCAAAAGGGATTATGGGTGGTGTAACAGCTGATGAAATCCTTAGTGCTCTTTTGATTTGGTTTGGGGAGAAGGGAGCACTGTTAACAAATTATTTGTATTGAATTTTATGCTGTCTATAGTTTTGTGTCATTTTGCTGTATAGTGCCATTTGCTTACATAATGTTTATTTTGTTGATGCAAAGAGGTATTTAAATAAAGAGCTAATGCAATAACCCAACCATGTTAGAAATGAAAATGGTTACCTGGATTTTGATTTTAAACCTCCAAATTATAGTGAAAGCTTTGAGGGCATTCAGTGCCTCTGTTTTGGTGACTTTATCATCATCGTCCAGGAATGATGCTATCAGTTTTATATCATCGTTGGTACATATATTGGCCTGGAAAGTAGAAAAAAAGATTATCTAATGGGAATGTCATGAACGATAATGTACACCAATCTCAATTCTGATGCTAAATATTTTCCACACTCATTTAACCATTTGACATCCCTTTTGCAGGTGACAAGTTGGTGAAGTTCAGAAATGGGTATAAGAAACGACAAAAGAATCCCATAGTACCTTGGAGATTAATTGAGAAAAAGGAATGTCTAGCTAAAACATTTAAATGCAGTGGGTTGGAGTCCATGGAAGCATGCATGCAACATGTTTTCTTTTCTTGAATCAAATCTCAGTAGATATCTAGGGCCCACTGTACTATAAGCATGGAATTCAAGACATAAATAAATCAGGGCCAGCTAACACCTCCCAACAAAGGATTCCCCCAGGTAGTAAGCAGCCAGACTTTGAAGCTGAAAGGCTATTGCTAATCAAGGTGGCCAATTGCAACATTCACACTTGCTTCAAACAGACAAGAGTTCTTTCTTCCACCCTGGACATTCCACTGATCTATAAACTCCAATTGCCTAGTTTCAGGAAAGAATCCATCTAAAACATGGCCATACAGCCTGGAAAACTCACAGCAACTCCGCATGGATGTACTCACTTATTTCTTTGTATTCTACTTGTGACTGCACATTTATAGCACTGTGATCTACTTTAACTGCCATGGTTCCATCATGTGGAATCCTGGGATTTGTAATTTAGGGAAGGCTATTTAGAATTCTCTGCCAAAAGTTTCAAATCACAGGGTTACAAACAAATCCCAGGATGAACTAAATGCCAGGATGCACTAAACCGCAACCATGGCAGTGAAAGTGATATTAAAGTATTATAACAGGGCCTTCAGTTTCAGGATTAATCATATTTTTTCATGGTAAAATATTTTCATGGTAAAATACTTTAAGTATCCTGACTCAATATTATATGGCATATAACTGCCTTACCGAAGGTAGCTTTGCTGGCAAATGGTTGGTTTCTGGCCACAATTCAATGTACTGATTTTGACCACTGAAACCTTAGGTCCAGCCTATTTGAAAGCCTTTATGTCCTCATGTGAGCCTGTCTGAGTCTTAGGGGCCTCTGGGAAAGACTTTTTCTCTATCCAACTACCCTCCCAAACTTGGTTGGTAGGAAAACAGGAAAGAGGCTTCTTGGTGGCTGCTGCTTCTGAAAGAATGCTGAGTACAACTGAGTAACACAGATATATTTAACAGTGTGATGAAAGTAGAGAAATCAGCCATTTCATTTCAAAACTGAGTCAGACTGACCTCTGCTCTACCAAACACTTTCCTGCTACAATGTGATGAAATCCTAATGGTATATTTAATGTGTTTTTTGTTTTTTGTTTTTTTAAAAAACTTTCATTTTAACTGCTCAGTTTCAATTCATATTGTTAAGCCAATTTTAATCCCATTTGGGAGAAGAGCAAGATATAAATAGAAAAATAAAATTTTAAAAATTATTTATCATGTCAGACTACACAGAGAAGCCATTGAAATCCACAAGCATGTGGACAATTTCAACAGAAAGGAAGAAACCATGGAAATGAACAAAATCTTGCTACCAGTATTAAAAAAAACCCTCTAAAATCAGGACAGTAAATAAAGAGGAACACTCAAACACAGGGGAACTCCAAACAAGAAACAATCAGGAACAGCGATCACCTCTCAACAAAGGATTCCTCCAGGCAGTAACAAGACACCCCTAAAAACCATCAGGCCATCAAATGCTAATCAAGGTGGCCAATTGAAACATTCACACCTAGCTCCAACAGACAAGAGTTCTTTCTCCCGCTCTGGACTTTCCGCCGATATATAAACCATTTTTCCTAGTTTCCAACAAACCTCACAACCTCTGAGGATGCCAGCCATAGATGCAGGCAAAACATCAGGAGAGAGTGCTTCTAGAACATAGCCATATAGTCCGAAAAACCTACAACAACCCATTTTTTAAAAAAATGATCTGAGATGACCTTGTGAGTTGGCTGCCTCAAGGGAGATTAGAACCTGATTCATCCAAGTACCTGCCCAATCTCTACAATCCACCATCTCTTTTAAGTATACCTAAGTTATTGATAAAACCCTTGTCTAATGCTTTTTGGTGCAAAAGGGCACCTGACTCTTTTCTAGCTGGAACATGTGGCCTTCCTTTCTGGGTTTATTTTATACAAGTGTAAGATCTTGGGCACTGATTCCCATTGATTGCTAGTGGAATAGAACCAGGATTGTGAGAAGTCTCAAGAGAGAAGCTGAATTTGAGTTACAGAACTGCTAGGGGTTGATATTCAACATTGCATTCTATGTCCTCTGAATTTCACCTCTGATTCTTTCAGATAGATGTACTGAGTGATGTTATGAAGTGTTGTTCTCTTGGAATCATCATCAAGGTCATGGCTGAGGGCCTCCAGGAGTTTCCTGAGATCTCCAGGAACATTCACTAGTGCAGATGGCATTGGGTAGTACTCAGCAGGAACTCCTAGAAGCAATCATCCAGAAATGAAACACTGTCCTGCTGGGATCAAAAAAGTCCAGAAATCACTTGAAAACATTTTTGTAATGTAATACCATATGTTTTCAACTCAGAGCAAGGAGAGGTATGAAAATTCTTGTAGATGAGAGTTTTAGTCTGTCCTATAGGTTAGGTCTGGAAAAGTTAATTTTGGGGTTATAACTCCCAGAATTCTCCAGTCAGCATAGCCAATGGCCATGTTAGCTGGATTATCTTAACTCAAATGTATCATGAGATGATCCATCTAATTGGGAAAGATGATAATGCTTGTTAAAATGGAAGTGGGTAGGAAAGCTCAATTAAAAAAGCCACGGGCCTGAGTTGCCAGACCAAAGCTAAGCAGTTGTTGACCTCTTGAAGCACGCTCATTCATAGGAGAACCATGAGTCGAATGGGTTTCCTTCTCCTTCATAGGGCCATCCTGACAGGGCCCAAAAGGTACAAGCTCTCGCACTTTTACCAGAGGAGTCCAAACAATGCTTCCAGTAAAACTGAATTAATTTGAGACAAAGCAGGAAAACCCTAATTTGATACAAGACCCAGATCTTTGATAAGATCTGGATCTTTCCAGGTGTGGGCCCAGTGTGGATTGGACACGGGGACCACGTTACGTGATCCCCAGGCCCAATCCACACTGCTGTCTTGGGTTTTTCTTAAACCCACTATGGTGCAGGTTTAAGTGAAGTCTGGAAGTGCCCTTAGAAGGCGGTCATGAGAAGGAGAAAGAAATTGGAATCTTCCTATCATTGGGAAAATGGGCCTTCTGCTAACCACATCTCATTAGGACTTGTTGCTTACCAAATCCTAGCAGGGCCATTTCACCCCCACCTCTCCTGCTATAGAAACAACTCAAGTGAATTATCTCTTCTTAGATTTTCCAGTTTTCTTTGCCTCTTTTAATATTAGTTGAGGTGAGATAGACAGCATAATAATGATGGAAGAACAAGTTTTCTTTAAGTAAGACATTCAAAGTTTCCAGACATAGATACTGACAGAGACTGAAAAGATTTCTTGGTTGTACCTGGTCTCCCAAAATTTACAGTCTGGCAATTCTTAGAACGGCAGTCCCTAAAACTAACTTTCACAAGGTCTGATTACTGAGTTGCATTGCTTTTCCCCAAACAGATACTAAGAATGCTTTACTATCTCCCTGTGGCCTACAGGACTCACTGGCTAAGTTGAATAGATCCGGATTGTAGGGCGGGCTTCTGAACATTGCGAGAAGCGTCTTAGATACCAGATAGATAGCTGTAGCTCCTGTAGTTGCCATGACCACATTTTTTCTAGTTAGTAGCTCATAGTACATCATCATTTTCACTGGAAGTTCCATGGTATCTGCTTGAGCTCTGGCCACAGGCAAGTTTTCCACCTATGCAGATACAAGGCCATTCATTGTACATGGTTTGTGATGTCATCTAAGGCCATCATGTCAATAGTTGCACATCACTGTGAGAGCATATGAGAGATAAGTCTCCTGAATATTTCTTAAGATGATCTTCAGTAGTAAGATGTGGGAGGAATCATAGCTCACTGGTAAATAGAACATATGTCAGGATCCCAGGGAAGAGTCTTGGCATCTCCATGGTAGCACGTCCTGTAAAAGATCCCACTCTGTCCTTATATCCAGAAGAGCGATGGCTAATACAGGGATCATGAGCTTCATTAATCTCCTTGGGATGCATCTACACTGCAGAATTAATGCAATTTGACACATTTTAACAGCCATGGCTCAATGATAGAAAATAATGGGGATTGTAGTTTGGTGAGACACCAGCACTATTGTTGACAGAGAAAGCTAAAGACCTTGTAAACAACAACTCCCATGAATCCCTACCATTGAGACATGGCAGTTAAAGAGGTATTAAATAGCACTAACTGTACAAAGTGGCTCCATCCCTGGTCACTGTTGTGGCTTCTCAAAGGTTCCTGTTGCTCTTGCATGTACAGAATATGCCCAAATTCAAGGAAAATAACATTTTTTTAAAAAAATGCCAGGCATACTCCCTGTACATCTTGTTTACAAATAAAACATCACTACTGATACATCATAGAAGCACACTTCTACTTGTACTTTAGAGTAGCACACACTTTGTTAAAGGAGAAGACATCTTTTTTATTTGCCACTGAAGCAAATTTAACAGAGACAAGAGTACAGTAGCTCCCAGTGTGTGCAAAATACCAGAGTCTTCAGAAATTGCTCACCATTGCTAGAATAGAAAATATCAGGTAAGACAGGCAAACAGTCCTACTTGGTACAGGTATATTTCGGTTAATTAAGTAGAGCCATTACTTCTTTAGCAAGAATAGAGCTGGGTTCCTATATCAAAGGTATGGGTAAACCCAGGCCTGGGGGCTGGATGCGGCTCCCTGGACTCTTTTCTCAGGCTCTCCTCTCACACCATTCTATCCTTCCTTCCTTCTCTCTTTCTTTTCTCTGGTATAGACACTGAGAACTGGGAAGCCCTGGCCCTTGAGTGCTCCAGCTGGAGGTCAGCTGTGACCAGCAGTGCTACAGAATTCAAGGAGGCACGATGGAGGGCAAAAGAGAGAAACATGCCAGGAGGAAGGCGCGTCAAGCCAACCCCGACCGGGACCGCCTTCCAGCTGGAAACCAATGCCCTCACTGTGGGAGAAGATGCGGGTCAAGAATAGGGCTCCACAGCCACCTACAAACCCACAAGGAAATGCATAATGGAAGACCATCTTACTCATCTAACGAGGGATCACCTAAGTTAGGTGATCCCTTACTTTCCTCCTTCTCTCCCTCCCTTTTTCTCCTTCCTTCCTTCCCTTCCACCCTTTTGTCTTTCCTTACCTCTTTCTTCCCTCTTCCCCCCTTTCTCCTTCCTTCCCTCTTGTTTTCCTTCCTTTTCTATTTTCTACCTCCTTTCCTTTCATCCCTCCCTCTTTACTCCCTTCTCTTCCACCTTTTCATCCTTCCTTCTTCCTCCTTCTCTTTTTCCTTCCTCTTTCCCTTCCATTCGTTCATCCTTCTTTCCTTCCTTCCCTTCTGTCTTTCCTTTTGTCTTCCCTTCCTCCTTCCCTTCTTTACCTCCCTCTTTCTCCTTCCACCCTTCCTTTCCACCCTTTCATCCTTCTGTGTTTCCTTTTGTCTTTCCTTCCTCCTTACCTCCCTCCTTCCCTTCCTTACCTCCCTCTTTTCCCTTCCACCCTTCCCTTCCACCCTTTCATCTTTCCTTCCCTCTTTCCCTCTGTCCCTCTTTCTCCTTTCATCCTTCACTTTCTCCCTTTCATCCTCCTTCCTTCCCTCTTCCCTCCCTCCTTCCCCCTTCCCTCTTTCTCCTTCCATTCTTCCCTTCCTTTAATCCTTCCACCCTTCTCTCTTTCCTTCCTCCTTCCCTTCTTTCCTTCCTTCCATCATGCAGCAGCCAGTCCTCTTAGTGGCCACCAAGTTAGAAAGTTTGCTCATGCCTGCTATGTCACAACAAAGAAGAGTTGATCAAAAATTAACAATATGCAAAGTTTGTTTTGCCACAACTATCAGAATAGTTGAAATATCCCATTACAGGTATAGCTCTTCTTTCTGCATGTTTGCTCATCTCTTCAAGGAAGGTTTCATCCATTTGAGTCCTCTCTCTAAGATAACACATTATGTATATATGTATATGCAAATATATGTAACCCAAAATTTAAAAAAACAAACAAGCCCCAAATCCAAAATACTTCTGATCCCATGCATTTTGGATATGAGATACTCAACATGTTCTAGCTTTTAAATGCCTTAGTGAACATTTGACAGATCCCAGAAGAGGGCAGCAAAACCCTTGAGTTGGATAGGGGCCTTCTTACTTGTTTGAATAAAAAGTGCCACACTTCTATAGGTCTTAAGCAGTGTTGTCCACCTCCAACCCCTGTCATGAAACAGATTAGCAAGATGAGGGTGAACTGAAGGTAGAATTTTTCCTGCCTTCAACATACAATGCTTGGTATGCATCTCACTAAACCTACAACTACCCACCTTCTTAAGCAAATACAGAGCTCGGAAATGTTGATGGGATATTGGAGGTGGTTGCGGACTCATAATATCACAGCCAAGCTCTGGGAATTTAAAACTATTCAGGAACATTAACAGTAATGAATAAAAAAGATAAATACTTAAATGAAGAAGGGAATGGAAGGCTGAAGGCAAATTTAGATCAAAGAGAGTTGGAAGACACCCCTTTCCTCAGAAATGGAATCAGCATTTTTTAAGGAAAAGTGCTTATACCAATGTGGTGGGAAACAATGAGGCAAGCCTAGTTTTCAGAAATTTACAACAAATGTAAGACTGGTATATTAGAAGCCATAATGATGAGAACAAGACTGGGACTCAAATTACAGAAAAGGAGATTTCATCTAAACATTAGGAAGAACTGCCTGACCGAAGAGCTGTTCAACTCTCTGCCTCGGTATGTGGTAGAAGCTCCTTCTTTGGAGGCTTTTAAACAGAAGCTGGATGGCCATCTGTCAGGAGTGCTTTTATTGTGCTTTTCCTGCATGTCAGGGGGTTGGACTGGATCGCCCATATGGTCTCTTACAACTCTATGATTCTAATTTGATTTCTATCCAAATTTTCTAGGACTGAAGGGATTCCCATCCTTGATCTGTGTGATGGTGTTGTGTGAACTCATCTAGACATCTTTAAGTCTGTTTCTTTTATTATTGGAATCATGCAAGGTTTTGGAAGTGGTGAACAATTATCTGGACCCAGAAATTGCATGAGGGTCAATAAACTTTAGTTACATTCTCAAAGGATGGCATATATACTGGTTTGAATAGTTCACAAGTCTGGGAGCATTAGCTCTACATGATCAAGTTGCACTGCTTCTGATACAACATCTGCATGGATTATGTTGGATCCAACATAATTGTTTCAGGCTTGCTCAGCTGGATTACTGTAATACATTATACACAGAGCTGCCCTTGGATAATGCTTGGAAGATCCAAATAGTACAGAATTCAGTTATAATAATCAGAATCCCCAAACCAGTGCGGCTATTTCT